TTGAGAAATGCAATAAGGTCAGACCGAAGTGGTTCCTGAAGGTGACTTCCGATTCGCAGTGACTTGTGGAAAATTGGTTCGTCAATATAGACTAACTCCACATCCTCCCCAGGTTCAGCTCGGTCAGGTCGACTTTTCTCTTTGAACAAGGCTCTGGGATCCAACTCGTCTTCTTCTAGGAGGGGTTCTTTTCCAGGTCGGCGTCCTCGGTCCTCGGTTAAAGGATCCGAAGTGGAGGGCTCACCGACGTGGCTACTCGGTTCTTCGGTCATTGTATCGTTTGGAGAGTGATGTTGTGGGGAGGTCTCATGGTCGCTCGCTGATGTTGAGTGAATTCCCTGAGAAGGGATGAGCGTTACAAGCTGTCGAGCTTCCCTTTGATCTCCGAAGTGGGTTCCTTCTCCTCGGGTTGTTGGAAACTTTAATGCGTAATGGAAGATGGAGACTGCGGCACGAAGTTTGTACAACGCCGTTCTACCGATGATGGCGTTGTATTCGTTGTTTATATCCATAACTTTAAAAGTCTCCATAACAAGTTTGGTGACATTCTCCGAGGTACCAAATCGGACGGGCAAAGTAATTTCTCGGATGGGTTTGGAAATACTGCCATTAAACCCCTGGATTTGATCATTGCAAGGTCTGATCTCGGCGGGGTCGAGACCCATCTTATCAAAAGCTTTCAGCATCAAAATGCTTGAATAGGCCCCAGTGTCTACCATGACGCGATGAACCGGGATGCCACATATTGAAACGGTAATGACCAAGGCGTCAGAATGAGGATGGGCGAAGTGATTCGCGTCCTCCATGTTGAAAGTTATTGGGCAGTTTCGATTATTGAGAACATCTCTCAAATCAGTGGTGTAAACCTGTTTACCGGAGTTGTGGGCTTGTCGGGCATACGCCTTAACTTGTCGGCGGGACAACGTGCTCCGAGGGTTGTTGGTATTGACCCGATGGACAGTGATTTGCATTGGTTCAGGAGATCTATCTCGCTTATGTCCTCGGGAAATTCCATCAAGAGCAGAACCGGAAGTTTCCGAGGTGAACGTGAATACTTCTTTATCTCCCTGTCGGATGCGTTTTGTCGT